CGGCCTCTTTTTTTAAACTACATTTTCTAATTGCTGCTGGTGATAGGAACAAAATTAATTTTTTTTGGTATGTTGATCTTATATCCTGCCACTTTGCTGAGCTTTCTTTTTAGTTTGTTGCATATTACTTTAGATTTTCTCTGTAAGATAAGTGTAAGATATTCAAGTGATTATAGCTTTGTTTGATCCTTTCCAGTTTATTCTTCTTGCCATACCACACTGGCCAGGGGATAGATTGACTAGGGGCTGAATAATAGGCATCTTTGTCTTATTCCTAATTTCCAGGGAAATGTTTTAATTTTTCACAACTTAGTGTGATGTTTTTGGTAGTTTTTTGGTAGATAAGTTTATAAATAATCATGTTAAGAATTTCTATTTGGTAAGAGTTTCTTTTTGTGTACATGTATGTTTTTAACCAATAGGTATTTAATTTTATTGTATGATTTTTCTACATCTATTGAGAGAATCATAGATTTTTTTAATCTTTCATCCTCTAATTTGTCAATGTGGCAAATTACAGTTACAAATTTTCTAATGCTAAATTATTCTTGCATCATTGAGGGGAACAAACTCCAGTGTGGGGGGAACAAACTCTAACTTAGTCATTAAAAAACCTACGTTGCTGATTTGGTTTGCTGACCTTTACTTAGGATTTTTGCATTTATGCTTATTAGTGAAATTGGCTTATAGTTTTTCTTTCTTGTACCGTCCAAGGTTTAACTTGTCTCAAAATCAATAGGGCAGCAATTCCTCTTTTTTGTGTTCTGGGTCAGTTTGTGAAAGACCTGGCACTTTTCATTCTTTGAGTGTTTGATAGAACTCATCTGGGCTTTCTTACTGATGAGAGACAGCAAAAGGGAGGGTACATTTGAGGATAGGTTTAGTTATGTTTTGGGTTTTTTCTTAAATCAGCACTGAAATAGATTATATATTTCAGGAAATGTTCTGTTCAAATATTCAAATTAATTGCCACAAACATTTCATAGTATTCTCTGATTTTTTAAAATCTCTATTCTATCTATAATTATGTTCAATTTTTCATTCTAATATTGTTTATTTGTGCTTTTATCTTTTTTCATAATATTGCCAAAGTTCCCTATTTTATTAGTTTTGGCAACATATTTTCATTGTCATTCATTTCTGCATCTTATCTAACAAAATTTATGTATTATTTAGAATGCATTTAAAATTTATAAATGTGTTTTCAGTAGTTTTTTATTAGTGATTTATAATTTAATTACATTTTGATCAGCAAACATGACCCACATGATATTAATTCTCTGATATTTGTAGAGATTTTTTGTGGCTTATCTATGGTCAATTTTTATATGTAATATGTGCTTGAAAAGAATGCATATTTTCTAATTGCTGAGTATAAATTCTACTTATGTCCATTAGATTAAGCTTATAATTATATTCAAATTTTCTATATCCTAAATAATTTTTGTCTGCTTAATGAATCACTGACAGAGATATGTTCAAAATCTCCCATGGTGACTATTAAGTTATAAATTTCTTCTTTGAATTCTATCAGCTCTTTTATTTTTGCCTATTTTGTTATTTAGATACATACAGTTTTGAACTTTTAGGTATTTCTGGTGAATTTTTACTTTTTATTCCTTCTTCATTCAATTGTACTCATTGTTTTTACTGATACTTTTAATGTTAAAGTTTATTTTATCTAATGATAATATAGTTATATCAACTATCTTTTAATTGGTTTTTACATAGCATTTTTTATATCCTTTTATTTGAAATTTTTTTGTGTTCTTATTCTTTAGGTATGTGTCTTTGTAAATAATATCAATTGAATATTGTTTACCTTTAAAAGCCAGTCAGATATCAATAATTTCCAATTGTAACTTCCTTTTTTTTTTTTACTTGTACTTTAATGGATGCAAAGAAACTTTAATTTCTGATACTGTTTGTGTGTATACCTGATCTTTTGATCTCTAAGCAAACTTCATCTAATAGGAATCTTTTTTCTGTTCTCTTATTTCTAATAAACTTTTAATAAAAAAATTACACACACACACACACATTTGAGACAGAAAAGTACTCAGTTACTCTGTCCAAAAGAACAAGATACTACTTTACCCTGCCCATTCATTTTATGGTATTCAAGGAAGGATACTAACTTGCAAAGTTTTTTTAAGCTTGAATTTGTTGTAATTGGAGAAGAGAAGCAAAAGCAGGAAGTTAGATTTGCTTCTTATGCTAGTTTTACAAACTTCATTGAGAATTTTAAAATTTTTGGTAAATTAGGAAGTCTAGTTTCAATTCTGTCTTTTAACATGAATTAGACATTTTCCTAGGTTGCCCTTTCTGAGAAGTAGAACTGATTGGCATGCCTCTGTAAGACTTGCTGCAATAGCATTTCTTCATTTGTTCTTAGGTAAGAAAGTTCTGAGTGGATGTCTCTTAATGAATTTTTGGGAGAGTCCATCCCAAAAATCCTTCCAAAAAGAACCATCCTTTCATTAACTTTTAGTAGACTTGTCTGTATTTCACCTCTTGGACATACCT